TTCGCACAATAAAAAATTCATAACTTTTGAATTCTCAACGAATTTACAAGGTCTAAGTTTTGTATAAGAGAGGAACTCATGTTGCAGAGTACCTGGATTGTTCGTTTGTACAAATGAAGGAGATAGAAGCTAAAAACCAAAATCAGTCAAAATTTGAATTTTTCGTGTAGGGTCATAAGAAATCGGAAACTTGCAACAAAAATAAGAACAGTCGATATTGTAGGTTCTTTTATCCGTGCTTTCTAACATTGCAATGTTTGCGCCGATTGAGCGTCTCTATGAAAAGTTATGATTTCCGAGCAAGCAATACAAAAAGGCGAATTTGACTTATTTTGGCATTTTTCAGGGATAACATAACTTTTCATGGAGACGCTCAATCGGCGCAAACTTTGCACTGTTGGAAAGAGCTTGTGAAAGGGCCTACAATACTGACTGCTCCGATTTTGTTGCAAGTTGCCGATTTTTTATGACCCTACACGAAAAATTCAAATTTTGAGTAATTTTGGTTTTGAGCTTCTATCTCCTTCATTTGTACATATTAACGAATAGTTCAAGTACAATCGCAAAGAGCATGAGTTCCTCTCTTATACAAAATTTAGATGTTGCAGATTTGTTGAGAATTTAAACAGTTATGAATTTTTGAATTTGGTGCGAACGAACTTTTGGGACGACCTAATATTAATATTGTATCTATTGTGTAATACTTGCACTTCAAAGTTTACGAATGCTCCAATCACGCACATTTTGAAGGGAGGGTAATAGAAGTAGTAAATAAAGTCGGTGTAAGCCTGATAAAAGAAATGGGAATATATCTCAACTTATAATAACAGGCTTAGGGTGTTTACGTGCTTTTGGTATATAGGTGTCTCGAAATTCGTAGAGCAGGTTCAAGCCAACCTTTTCAGCCCAAATTTTGCATGGAGCATGCTAAGTTAGTGTGCAAAAGCGCGGCGAATCCGATGAGCGAATTCCTCAAAATTAGACCGCCAGGAGGATCCACATGACTTTTGACTCACAGAAGTGGTCCTTTATCACTAGTTCGTGCATTATTATGGACTTGTGTCAAATGCAAACCTATAAATCATGAGTTTTAGTGCGAATAAAACCGTAAAATAATTTATTTTTTCTATCAAGAAGCGCCAAAAAGAGAGCTTAGTAAATCCTTGATTTTTGTAGCTTTTACTCATTGGACTGAAAAGATTTTTACTTAGACGAGTAGCTCGCAATGGTCATTTTCTTTACGGCAGCTGACAAATTAGTTGCAATTCAGTAACAAAAATGCGTCTATACCTATTCCGCACAATCCCTTTCTTTTCAAAACAACGATTTTCTTATAAGACTATATGGAATGAGTGGTGTCCAGCATTCACTCGCGATTTTAGGCAGCTCTCAGTGATTTCATTTCTATTTTGATGAGCAAAGGACAAAATCATTGTTTTTTTTTATATATGTGAGTGTCACGTCCCTCATATCTTGCTCGATTTCACACGATTTGGTGTTTGTCTAGATGCCTACAAATCAGACGTTGGCAGATTTTGCAAATGCTTACTGCGAAAAAAAATGGAAAATGACAAGGACTCTAAAGGTAGAACTTTTAAATCTATATGAACTACGCTTATGAAAGTCACAATTGGAGCTAAGAAAACGCGTGGCGACCGAATTTTGCGCGAAGTTATGCCCGGGCACTAAAACCTGGCTTCTGTATTGCGCGACCAGATAGAGGGCCACTGTGAGCCTCTGCACAACAGACTTGACGCCGCACTTTTTTTAATAGTTATTATAAATCACGCGTAGGTCATTTATAATGCGTAAAAACGGAGTCTTGCTGCTTTACATCTGCCTCTTTTGCATGACCTACGCGTTATGCGGGCTGCTGCTAGCTACTGTAGTTTTGATGATAAGATAATTTTAATAGCTTGGGAACTACTGATGAGGAGCACCAAGGAAGGCACTACCGGTATAGTTTTCTAGCCCCGAAAGTTGATACTGCGAAACATGTATTAGGTTGTCTCATAATTTTTTACCTATTTTACCCTAAACATTAGCATTTCTCGAGAACTGAGGCACCTACAAAGTATACAATTACATGATTGTACTTCTGTATATAAGGACAATATGATCACATGGTTGGGAGGAGCTCAGGACCTCTAAGGGCGGAGTTTGCCATTTTACCTCACTCATTTTTTTTCTTTATTTCTAGCCATGTAGAAAAATCGGAAAGTGCACAATTGAATGTGCGATGTATCAACCATATGCTAGGGATAAATGGGGAATTTTTTAAATGATTTGGGGTGGAGATACGATTTTTTAAATTAAAGTTCGTATTTGACTGCTATCAGATTTCAGCTCAAAACTTCACGGGATAACAGTTGGGCAGACTTTTAATAGCCATCTTGTACAGCTTGCTTTGCCCTGTCGAATGATTACTCAAGCCACATTAGATAAAGGAAAGATGCAAAAATGCGTAATAAAAAATGTTGTAACAGTATGGTTACAATAAAAACGGCAAAAAATTATGGGACAACCTAATATAAAAAGCACCAAAACTTCGTTCCTTGCTATTTCCCGTCAGATGGATTCCACTACCAAAGACTCAATATCTTGTTATATTTCAGATAACCTCGCTTAGATCAAATGCTCAAATACTATGCCTTGGATTCGTAAACGTTTTGAGGGAAAACGTAAAGGAAAATGTCTTCCCGGGTTGCTGAATTGCGCTCAAAGTAATGTTTTACAATAAGTTTTTGAACTGCTAGAGAATTAGATGAGAACTGAATTTGGAAGTTTGGCCAGCTCCATGCCCATCAAAATAACAAAATTTTATAGCTAACCCTGTGCAAAACTTAGCCATCGCCATTGTAACACAAGTCACAAATGCACTACAGTCTGCTCCAATCGGGATCAGGCCGAAGCGTCGACATAAATTTGCGCGCTCGCAGCGCTAGTGGTCTGCGCTGCATATGCGCGCTGTCGGAGAGAGCCAAAGGATTGAAGAGAGAGCAGAAAAGCAGGCCTTGGGCGTGACAGCAAAACCCTAGCGACGGGGACTCCCGCCATGCCAATTTTGGCCTGGTTAGGATTGGGGCAGACTGTATGCACTTCGGTGGTCCGAGGAAATTACAAAAGAAGGGAAGCAACGGGAATTTTCATAATGATGGGAGTAATATTAGACATGTCCTTCAAAACTTTGGGTGATTTCATTTTGCCGGACAATGACAATGACAATAACAAATTTGTGGGGAAAGGAGCTAATATGTTGAAGCTTTTTTCCGAAACTTCGTGTTTCGTTTTCTGTGCGCACGTCTGTTTTATCTTCCAGAGGCAGAGAGACGAGTTAGCACCCATATGTTGTATTTTTGAAACCTTTTTCAAATTTTTCTTTTCTGATACATTAAATGTTTTTTGGAATAAAATGAAGATAGAAATAGATTTTGATGTGTAAACGCGTAATGAAAAGTTGTTCAATAATGTACGAAAAAACCTCTCTTCCATAATATCGACGGGCCCCGCCCACTGCTTTACTTCACCGTGTGCATGAAACTTATTGGAGTACGTTCTTCATTCTCGAGTTAACAGAAACACTCAAATCGCAATTTAAGAATCCATCGAGGAACATGCTGATGGTCCAAATGATAATCTTGTTGCTAATCTTGATCATACTACCCACCCTCTCGTAATAATACTAGAACAAAGAAAAATTTGATTGTCGTTTCTTTCCTACTACTCGACGGAAATTAGACAAACACGATCTTTCCGGAAATTATCAGTAGCGAGGGGGAATCTTATGGTGAATGAAAATTAAGTAGAAACGAACTAACCTCAACCTGTTCCTCCTTCTTCTCATGAGGTTTTTGAACTTGGGCAATAAAGCGTTTCTAGTAGGACAAACTTTTATGATCGAATCCTCAACAACTGGTTATAGCTTCTTATTCAAATTTTGACTTTGTCCTCAATCAGCATGTGTATTGAATTTCATAATTATCATTATTGCCACTATGCCGGTATAGTGAATAAATCCACTATGCCGGTATAGTGAATAAATAAGTGACGTTTAACCATTGTTATAACAAATTCTTTCGATCTTTTTGGCGCACGTTTTTGTATCACCCTAATAAAAAACTTTCCAGCCAACCTTCCAACATCTGGAGCAACAACTCAGATAATTGGCGGGGGCAGGCGGTCCGCAAACTCGCGCTTTTCTGCAAGCGGTCAACAGAATTTTGGAGCGTGGCCAAAGCGAGCGGTACTTCCTTTACTGTCTAATATTCTGCCAGCGGGCAGCAATACAGCATTTTCTGCAAGCGCTCGGCAAATAATTTCTTTCAGCGAGCGCTGGCCAAACTATGAGTGAGCGCTTGGACTCTTCTTAAGCAGTTCCGGGCATACGCCGAGCACAGGTAAGACTCTGTGTGGCAGAAATGTCACCGTTGGTTTAATTACTCAAGTTTGAGGTACTTTCTCTCAGCGGAAAGCACCTGGGGGCTGCGCGGTCCTCCACAAAGGACCGTGCGGCCCCCGAAAATTTTGCATATTCTCGCGGAAAGAATGCGAGAATGCGGCCACTGCGCCGCAGCCAATCTATAAAGGAACTACGACTGTTCTTCAAGCATTCGTCTAAAATTTCGCTAAAATTCTTTCTGCAAGCGGACCGCAAGAGATCAGCGAAGTATTTTTCCGGTGCGCCCCCCCCCCCCTCCCCCGTAAATCGCATGGCTGCCTGCCCCCGGCGATTATCTGAGAAGGCAGAAAAGTTACAGAAAACACTGCTTGAAAATTCCTTTGAAATTGGCTAAGTTTCAAAGTGTCCTTTCTTGACCTTTATGAAGAACTCTAGTTTACCCCATACAGTGTGCGAAAATCTGGATTTGTTACGATGAATTGGTTTAACATGTGTCTTTGCGCTTTTGATGCATATCGATCTTGCAGCCTTATGAATTACTACCGCGTTAATCCACATAGGTGAAAATGAATAGTGGCTTGCGGTTAGTCTCAGTCTTCAAATGCAGCCCTACACAGCATGTGTGCAGATTGATCGTGTAAAGATTCTTGTGTGCGGTGACAAAGGCAAGAGTTTTTTCCGTATGAGACCTTCTATGCAAACATTTTCTATTATGTTGCAGGTGTTGGCAAGACTGCATTGATCCATGCATTTAGAGACGACACTTTTACGGAGGATCCAGAAGAAACGGGTGAAATGGTCTGTAAAATGCATTATGTTGATGACAAACGGGTCTTGTTCCAGGTGAGTTGTTTGCTCGATACTTAGTGAATATTTTGTAAAGCATTTAAAGAGATGTAAAGCCCGCAATAACCCATCATATACCTAGTTTGTATTCTCCAAGCAACGACCGGATATCCGTAGTTGAGGTTTCCTAATCCCCATAACAAGGAAGCCTGCCAACAAAAAAAACAAGTATGAATACCTTAAAAGCGTAGATCTTTTCCGCTGATTAAAACTGTTCGAATTCGTGCACATATCATTGGTCATCATAACTTACTTAAAGGGAGAAGTACTGAGTACTTCTCCCTTCAAGTAAGTCGTGTTTTCGTCCTTCGCTAACACAAAGATTAAGCCTCTTAAAAAAAAGTTGTGTGTAATACAAGTAGGTGTTATCCCTAGATTTCAAGCTGCCCTACGTTGCCGGTATCGCTTTTGCGGACTGCAGGCGGTGCAGCACAAAGTAAGCTCTCATGTAGATAGATTAGAACGTCGTACAACAGAATGATTGCGGAAAATAAAAAAAATGGTAGTCTTCCATACCTCGCAGAAATGCGTCAAACCCATTTTACTGCACGGTCTACAATTCTTCAAAGTAGTCTGCCAACGCAGTCTTTAGAATTGTAGTATTCGAGTTGAATAGGTGTATAGAGCGCTGAGAGTTTTTTAGTAGTAATCTCACTCCGGAGTGAAGCATTGCTATGAGTTACTTCACTATTCCGTCTTTGCTAAAGACATTTGAATACGACCTTGTCATTTGTAATCTTTTCCAGTTGTTGAGTTTGCTAGTAAATAACCGTCCATTCGTTGACAGTTCACACTTATAGTTTACGAGTCTTGAGATCTAATATGGATGCTCTCTTAAGGGCCGCATACATCATGAGATTTCATCGCCTCGCGATTCTTCCAACAACACAACTGTTACAACCTCATTTCATGCCGATCTTCCCGCATTTCGGTTGTGATAGTTTCCCGACGCGACCGATCGTTGACTTTTTTCCTAGAGCATACTTTCTCTGTCGGAATCGTCGCGATTTGCCAGAATCTCAGCGATATCGCGTTGCTGACTTCGAGCGAGCGACGCGACCTAATCGCTGAGATTGGATCTTTTTTGTGAAAGTTTTTATGATCGTTTCTTAGCTTTTTGGGCTGTTTTCTTATTCACTAATTCAAAAATAGTTCTGCTGTTTTCTTATTTACTAATTCAAAAATAGTTCTGTTTTGCCAGATTGTGTTGCTTCACCGTAAGTCGATCCTCCTGTATCCATTTTTGGAGCTACCTGTGATCCAAATTTCAAAGTCGTAAACGCTCAGACTCGCTCTAGGGGGGTTATTCGATTCGCTGGTGCCGAATATCATGGTTATTTTGTGCGGTAGCGCCATTTTCTGAGGCTACCGTGGGTATACAGTAGAGGGTCAAAATCGCGGATTCGCTTTAACACATTCACGAGAAGGCGATTTTTCGATTACTACCGTTTTGGATCAGAGCCTTTTTCGCTTTGTCAAACTTACGACTCACTCGTGGGTCGTATTGTCCAAAATGGTAGTCTTTTTAAGAAGAGTTCAAAACGTGTCTCCGAGATTATTGCAAGAGGGGTAACGAAGGCGCTGAATATCAAAAAATGATTTATTTTTGTTTTTGACATTACACGGTAAGGTTACGGTAGTCATTCTGTACGAAACCAACACCAACAACAACCAACATCCATCATCAAACTTCTCTAGAGGAAATTCCAGCAAAATTTATGGTTTTGTTCCCTTACGTGTTCCTCTGTGACCCCAGTAAATGTCATTTGAAAGCACAATCATGACTTATAATAAGCGGCTTAAATCTGAAGTTGTGTGGAGTTTGTCCGTTACGAAATTACAGTGAGGAATGATTTACGATACTAACATCATGTGAGGTTAAGATAGCGAGTATGGTTCATTTTTAACTACGGCTCACGTTGCAATAAACCGAACAATGATTTGAGAGACAAGCTCTCAGAAAGTGAGTTTACCACGATTCACAATGCCAGTGCGAACCTCTGCGAAGCAGAGGTGAAGCACTGGTGATTATGATATTTGGCACCAGTGGGTCGGATAACCCCTTTGGACCGAGTTTGCGCAAAATCCGCGACTTTGAAACGGTGGGGCCCAGATATCAAAATATAGTCAAATTTTTATGTGATCCTGCGGTTGGAATTGATTCTGGATTACAAAATGAAAATACAAATGAAAAAATTAGGTCGATGTAGTACAAATAAAGTAGTTTGAAAAGGTATATTATGTCCATAAGTGGGAGGATGCATGAATCGCCGCAGAAGTATGCCCAGGAACAAGCAACTACCGATTTAGTCGCCGCGATTTCGTCGCTACTTGCAGCAAATCGCGACGACAGAAATCGCCGCGATGAAGTCGCGTAATGTATGCCCGGCCCTTTAGATTAAGGTAGATCACTTTTCTACACGACTTTGCCATTTCTTCAGGAGTAAGTGATTTGTGCCTCGTTCATTTTGCTGTGTTTGGCCTTGACTTTTTGATAATTACATATCGTCGAGTCATTTGTAACTTAATATGCGTAGTGCAGATTATACATACTAACTGACGAATTGTGAAACTAAAACCTGCTCATTCCCAGTGATTTCTCCTTGTTTCCTTAGTTCTTTTGTTCTAGTTGGTTTACATGTAAGTCAGTAGAACAAATTTCTACATTTTGTTAGGCTTGAAAGTTTTTAGTGGGAAATTACTAGTATGGGGCCGTCGCTAATAGGGTTTAGTGTGCAATCTCACATATTAAGTTACAAATAACTCGAGGTTACTCCAATTAATTACAAACTGAAGCCCTCAAAAACATTCAGTACAGGCGTTTTCAAAATTATTCTGTATTATCACAGGTATTACAAATAAAATTTACAGAAAATTACTTGGAGGTGTAAAAACTTTTGAACCCCATTATGGTATTAAATGAAGGATTATGATAATTACCACTGCTGTGCTATTCGCACCACTGAAAAACGATATATCATCAGCTGCTAGCTTGCCGCGAGGGGAAGTAGGGCGAGGGTATCAGCAATACGGTTGTCCAGTGTTAAAACGTAGCTGGTAAATTGTCAACCGGTTAACATCGCTATCCCTCGTGGCACTGGGGGAGCCGATAACATATTTGCATCAAAAGTGTTGTATATTTATTTATTTATTTATTTATTTATTTGAATACGCCACAGGCGCGCCATAGTGTCGGGTTAGTAACCAACAGATTCTTAGAAACAAATATCAGTGTTAGAAATACACAAACACAGAGACAAGAAAGGCTTAACGCAGAAAAATAAAATAGCTTTTTTGAGACCATTCGCCAGTCTAGGTTCCCACTAATGAATGATAGAACACAAGGACTAACTATTAGAAGCGCTGCCATAAAGGATATTCATATGAGTCTGCGCATGCCACCCTCGCTGACCAGCAAGCGACCAACATTCAAGGAGTATGACAAAGACTATGAAAAGGGGATGCTAGCAACAAACTAGGCAACCCTAGTACAACCGAACATACTGGATGAGCCACAAACTCAATAGGAAAACTGGAAATATGCTCGGTAAAAAATATATTCGGGCAGTCTCCTTAGGTTAGCCTTATGTACCAGGAGGAAAAGAAAAATTAGACCCAGAACGACAAATATGTCTCAGTCGAATTGAACTGACACATAATCCAAATAATTATCAGATCAAAGATCAAACAATACAAAACGACATCTATCTTATACTCTTACAAAAGGTAGTACAGGCAAATAAAAGAAGAAGCTGGAACTCGATCATGCGTTGTCAACAAATACTGGACGACACAACTTGAGTCCGCCGAGAAGCGGGATCTAAAAAGAAAACCGAGAAAAACAACTACAAACTAAAGAGAAAGCTAAACTCCCAAGCTTATCGCAGATGAAAAAGACGTGGCAAGAAAGAAGATGTAAAGCAGTCAGCCGAATTTAACCATTTTCTGAAAAAAAAAGAGGAGAAGAAAAAATGGATTGAAATAAACGAAACACACATCTTGTAAAAGAGACCCTACATCTAAAAGTATTCAGACTCGTCAATGCCTAACAAACTCAAAAGTCGCATTCCAAAAGCTTTTTTCTGAACAATTTTGAGTTAACAGAAGAGATGACAGAGCCAGGCAATTTCTGCATCCAACGTGCAGTACGGACAAAAAAGGTGCTCTTTTCGCTTTCGGCTGTTCTTTGTAACTGTCTGTTGCGGTGAAGTGTGATAATATACCGAGTTCTGTGAATTCTTCTTTTTGATTTTATCTGTTTTTGGTTTACACCTCAAAACCTTTGCTCGACAACCAAGATGCGAGAAAGTGTGGGTCAAAAATCTACTTCTTGTGTAATGCGAAGAAAGAAGAGGACTATCTTAGAGAAGAAAAGAATTTTCGGATAGTGGTTTGATGCATTGAGGCTTTTGCTTTGTCAGTGAAGGTATCTGTAAACAAACAAAAGTACTACAAAATCTTACTCCAAAACGTCTACAAATCAGACCATGTGGTATGCCGCGAATGATGCTCGAACACAATCAGAAGAACACACTGTACAAGCATGGAGGGCATCCTTACCAATTACTGGGAGAGGTTGATGTGATGATGTTGATGTGATGATGTGATGTTCAAACCTTCAAGATGACTAATGTTAGTTGTAACGAGACAACGGGGAGTATGCGAACAGGATAGCAGAAACATATGAAACAGACAGGGTGTATAGATTATGATTTATCCCAGTGAGCTTCAACACTGTAATCTTATGTTGGCAAGAAGCCATAATCAGGGCCAGCAATAGACACTTCGTTTGAGAAAAAAATTAGTCACGCTTTCTACGTAATTTTTTAGATTATTTGACTTTGATCTTATCTCCACAGCACATGTAAACACCAAATTTGGAGCCATATCGTCATTTCTGCGTTGCAAACGAGTCCTTTTTTTCAGTTTCCACCTGAATAGTTATTTTGAGCGTGCCTAAGCAAGGTTGTTTGAGCACGTCAGTTTTATAGGGACTTGTACGTCACGAGGCTGGGAATATTTCTGGGGCACTTAGTGCATGGGAACATGTATTATCGTTCACTCTTACTAAGAGACACGAGCACGCTTTGCATACGCCTGCTCAACAAGTTCAAAAGAGTGTTTCAATGCGTTTCGGTAGATTACTATTGAGAATTTGTAAAATAACATGCTCGAGCTTGTTAAACAGCGCAAGTTTGTACATCTTCTTTCTGGAATTTTTACTAGTATGTTGTCAAAGCGCGTTGAAACACACTCTCAAACTTGCTAATCAAAAGTATGCAGAGCTGGTTGTGTTTTTAAACAGAAAATGAATGACAAGTATTATACCTCCCTCGCTTTTCCTCCCAAGCAATGCCCAGCCTGACATTTGCCGAGGCTTGGCTCAAATTAGTTAATGTTCGATGAAGTGATAATGGGTGGGGCAACAACTCATAACAAAAGGAATTAGAGAATTTGTCTAGTTTAACAGTGCCAAGAGTTGTAGCAGAGCTCAGCAGAGGTGGCGTTTTTACACGCTGGAAGTAGTTTTTTGAGACGAAAGCAAAAGGGAAATGGTAGTGTTTCCAGGCTGATTCCCGGCTTTGATAAAATATGCACAATTCCCAGATTCGAGGCTCTAGTGCTATCTTATCTGGCTCTAGTGCACTAACAGGTAAACTAACGTATTATGAACACGACTAGTGCACTAAGTTGCGTGCAAACGATTGCCAATGTGTTGAAACATGGTCTTCGTGCACAAAAACATAAACATTCAATTTGTTTACAACTACTAAGCAATATTAAGCCATCAAATTTGGTATATAGCTTCGCGACGATGGTGAAAAGAAAAGTATGAAAAGCTATGAGAAAATTATATGAACCAAAGGAGTTGTGTTTTTCTATTTTAGGTTGCTCCCGCGCAACCTAAGAGCACTCTGGGGTTGCGCGAGACCCAACGACGTCATAGTTTACCTCCTTTCTCACACAATTTTTGAAGAATTTTTACATAATTCTATTCTTTGGTTCAAACTCTACCTTTGAGTACTCACTTTGACCTGAATTTTTAACCCCACTCCTGTGCTATGGCACTTGATAATATAAAAAGTCTCATTTTTTTGCGTTTTGGTGTTTTCTCTACTTTTCCTGGCTTTTTGTTCACTTTGATTCATGCATCTCTCTGCAGGATACAAGCTGTACTTCCATAAGTGCACAAAAGGTTATTCGTAAATCTCTGCATTGTCAAAGGGGCTTTCGTTTCCAAGGCTTTCAAATGTCACCTCGTGCTGGGCCCTGAGTTGTAGTAATAGTTTTCTAACAATATTGAAGGATATTTCAAAACAGCTTTTCATTCATTTGAAGTGATTACAGATGGTCGAGCTACATACCGATGATTTATCTTCCGGTGATGCTCACAATGCACAAGCCATAATGCTTTTGTTTGATAACGAAGCTACGACTACCTTAAGACGGATACAAACATTTGTAAGTTTTTAGCTATATTCAAATGTCGTGTAAGACCTGTTACTGTATCAAATTTTAGTGGTACTCAAAAATTAATCTATACTTTTCGCAAGTGCCGTTATTTTTGGTAAGAAGCAAGTGCGATTTAAGAACGGTGGGTGTTTTTTGCGAGCGTTCGTGCTCAGCATCAATAAATAATCTAGAAAGTCACCCCGATATACGAGAACATGTTGAAGAACTCTATGCATGCTATGAGGTATCTGGAATGTTCCGCAAAACAAATGGTTAGTTCAAATTGCTGTTGGGTTATAAGAGGCTTTGATCAAACACCCGACGTGTTTTTCCAATTGCAAGTAGTCTTTTAGAACGGCGTCAGATATGTGTTTTTTGAAATACTAGGAGCTGTGAGAGCCACCCGTCGTGATCAAGAGCAGGAATATCGTAAGCAATTTTTTGACACAGGAACAAATAACTAAGAAGCATTTCTTAAGCAAATACTGAATATACGACATCCCAAGCTGTTGGCGAAGTGGCGACAAGAATCATCAGTTCTGGGCCACTATTGAGGGTTTGAAACTATCATTTCTTAGCACTGATGTGGTTTTTCACATCATCACATTCTAGCAAGTATTCGTCAATGCTCGTGAATGCCTGACGAATCCTGCTGCATTCCCAGATGTGAAGCAGTCGGTGAGTACTTTCAGCTTATTGTTTTTTTTTTCGTTAAAATTTCCCTGTAGTATCATGATACAACTTTTAGTTGAGCAGTCTTCTCCCCTTCAACATTTTTGGGACCGAGCCAATTCCGGAGGTGAATAACAACAATACTGTGAGAAGGGTCACTGATTCAATGCTTGGAATGCAAAAGAAGACAGAAAAGGACGATGAGGAGAAGCAGAGTAAAGAGAAAGAGCAGTGAAAAGCATTCATTTGCACAGTCTATCAAGAAATGCTCAAAACACTTAACACTCAAAAAACTTCGTTGTTTCGTTGCAATAAAGTCGTTCTCTTAACTCCCCATCATTATACTAGGCTAAAGAAATGAAAAACGCGCAAGCAGAGGAAGTGCTTGATCTGCGGCGCACCAGACCGAAAATTCAAAGCCCGTGGAGCAAAAGCCGAAGACCCGCATCATGTCTCGCTAAAATTCGCTTTCTGTACTGCTAACATTGTAAATCCGCGAGTTAGAGTAGCAAGTAATTTGCTCACAGGGCAATAGTAACACAGTGCATTTATAACTACACGACACCCCTCAAAATACTGAGTTTTCGGATTTATGAGAGAGATGGAGCAGTACTATCAGTGCCATTGTGGTTTACACCTAATATAGGATAAAATGACATCTCATTCGGTGCTTCGTTGCGATTACCACTCTACAAGTAAATACCTGTTTTATCTTTCTGTCTCACAACCATACGACACCCTTTGCAATAACATTTCGAAAGAAAAAAAATGTAAAACGTGTTTCTGATAAAAAATTGGGCCATCGTGTCCCTTTATTACTTCATAAAGTCCTCGTGCTTCTTGCGAGTTTTTTCATGATTTTCGATCTATGCTGCTTCACGCGTCCATGACTAGAATTTTCAGTCCTCTACGGTGTCATATTGCTTGTGCCCTGCTTAGATACGTCGTGCCAGTGTTCCCCAAAGATTATCTACGGGATTTAGGCCACGGCTGCACGACGGCCATCGTAGAACCTCCACCTGATGTTGACGCAAAAAGTCAATCGTTGATCTGCTCACATGCACACGAGCATTGTCCTGCTGCAAAATGTAAAAGAATGCAGCAATCGGTTCTCAAATACTTCTTTGTAATCTGCGCTGTTCACATTCGTATCGATAAAAGCCAGATCGAACTTTTATTTGCGCAGAGGCCCTCCAAATCATGAGCGAGCCATCATCGAAGTTTCTTCGGCTAAAAAGCAAGGAAGCCTTTCTCAAATCGTGCCAGTAACACTTCTGGCCGTCACATCCGTCCAAATTGAATTTTTTTCATCGGACCAGACTACCTAAAACATCTGACCGTCCTTAGAAAGTGCGAATGCGCTTGATGATGCTTACTTTTTCCCATTCTCTTCCCATATTGTCTCTCGCAAACTGTAGCCGGCGTGCTTTGTGTTGCTGTGTCATTCCGGGCGCCTTCCTCATAACGGCACGCGTGCCCGGACATTTGTGTTGCTCTCCAAATCGCTGTTCGTGACAAGTCCAGCTCTAGATCGGTTCGAATTTGGCGGACCGATAACGTTGAGTTTTAAGCCTTGTGCCTAATACGCCTTTCGTCTCTATTTGTGAGCAGACGATGCGGTCCTCCTTTTTTGTTATGGCCGTATGTGATTCAGTCTTTGACTGGATCACGGCACTCAATAACAACAAATCAATCGATATAGTCTTTTTTGACCTCTCAAAGGCTTTTGACAGGGTAGACCATTCCAAGTTACTGCTAAAACTCGAAAACTACGGTATTCGAGGTCAATTACTGATGTGGATTACAATAGGCAAAATGAAGCGTGCGCAGCAATTTCGTCATCAATTCAGCGAATGATCACTTGGTCTAAAGAATGGTCCCTGCCAGTAAATGCATTAAAATCTAAATTAATGCACCTTGGTGATACTCAATGCCCGACCTACAAGTGTGACGGTATCGAGCTTGAATCTTGCAATTTTAATAAAGATCTTGGTGTTTTAGTCGATAAGAAGCTTGATTTCATCCAGCATTATGACTCAATTTCGAAAAAAGCGCTTTTGAATCTTTTTGTACTTCTGCGAAGTATTCGTTGTAACGATCCTAAGTTGCTGGTACTGTATAAAACATACGTTTTGCCACACCTGGAATACGCTTCACCAGTTTGGAACCCATTTTCCAGAAAGAATATCGATTTCCCAGAAAAGGTTCAAAAATCATTCACGAGAATAGTGTTTTATAGATGTTTTCCAAATCCGGAATACTTTCGTTCTTTACCATCTTACAAATCGAGATTATCTACCCTAAATTTGGAAAGTTTAAAATATAGAAGGATCTTCAACGACTTAGTCTTCTGCTTCAGAATCATTCGGCTAGAAACGAGATTAAGACCCAGCAAGTACTGGGTTTTTAGACCTTGTAGCAGTCGCGTAGGTGGGCTCAACATGGGCTACAGACGGCTGAAAAGCAGAATCTTTTCCAAAGCATTTAATTCCTTTGTTTTCCGAACATCGAGATGGCTTAGCCTCTTACCAACCGATATTACAGCCAGCATCAATTCAAAAGTTTTTCGGCAAAGACTGGCTCAGATCGATGTTCTGAAAGCATTGAAGATTTCAGATGTTTAGACTGCGCCACTTGCTTAGGAGATGGTAGTACGAGACGGTGGTTCTCCGATTTCGAGTCAGCCAGGACTCAGTGACATTTACTATTATTAGAAATTCTATTTTCATTTTAGAGCTCTTCCATTTTGATGCATTTCGGTTTTTTGTTGTTTGTTTGGTTTGTTGATTTCACACTCATGTTCCCGTGAGCTTTCTGCTGTTTAATTCGTCTCCAATGGGAATAGCCGTTCAAGGAAATCAACGATTGGTGGTCCCACTACCTTGAGATCCCCCTCATTCGCTCGCCCAGGGTCCCGGACGAACTCTTTCGTTCGGGTTAAGTCGGTCATCCGAGCCCTGGTTCCATTATTCAAACCCGCGTTCGGGATGGGGACCAGGATTTCGGTCTAGGACGTCACACCGTCTGCAGATGGAGAACAACCTGACCACCCAAGGAGATGAGACTTGCTTTTACTTCACCGTGGGAACGTAATTGTCATGTTCAAGATGTCCTACTCTGTATTCTTTATCTCGGCGCACCTACGAGTGCAGCTTATAAATAAATAAATAAATAAATGTTGCTGGACTACGCAAATAACCAGCAAAAATGCTTCGAGATCTCCGTAATTGTTCGGTAACTTCTTGATTTTCAGGCTTCTCTAAGAGCGACGATGGCTCCGCGCTCCTCCAATGATAGGAAAGTTCCACGAGGCATGTCGCAAGGAAACAGAATGAACTCTTTCAAAGTCGTTCATTGCTTATTCTCTCGAAAGTACGCGTAGATCTACATAAGAAGGGGTGTCGTATAGTCATAAAATAGTGGAGATAAGATAGGCGTTTATTTGGATTGTGATAGTTGTTTTTAAAGGGGAATAAATTGTCATTGGATGTCATATCAGATGTCGTCCATTTATACGCAGAGCAAGTGGTCCTACCCTGCCAACAACAGAAAAAATTTGGGGGTGTCAGATAGTTATGAAACGCACTGCATATGGAGAATGTGATTCAGTTGGTAAAGTGAAAGATCAGCGGAAATAAAGGCTATTAAATCCTTCAGATTGAATACAGATTGTTCGTGTGCCTTGCAAACCTCTCAAAAAAAGTCTACTTTATTGCCATAGGCTTGTTGCGGCGTCTGGCACGTGAGTGGTGATGAAAGAATGGTAATCGCAATTACCAGTAAGCTAAAAAAGGTAAACATTTGACACTTTTTGCAAGTTGTAAATAACGCAGGACAGCGAGAGAAACCAAAGCCTGATGAAGGCGTTGTGCCAGAAGGGAGGAGAGCCACATTACGGGGTTAGCCTTTACGGTGGAAGCACCATGCAAAAGAACTGAAGGTAGACTCAAGACAAGGTGGATGGGATCAAAGCCGATTTGCGAGAGCTTCCAATAGATGAAGACCTTGTCTTGGATAGGAAAGCATGGAGATAACTGACAAGAAAAGCAGACCCTGCATAAGGGTGACCCATGCGAGGATAAAAAAGTAAAACTTGCATGTTACTGAAGCACGCCTTTCAAACATATTGTTTGAACTTGAACTTTACAACTTGCTTGTATCTCTATTTAAGTGCTATTGGCGGTAAGGAAAAGATCAATAAAGGATAATACAACCGTAGTGTAACCGCTAACCGAATAGCAATTCGTAATTGAATCGTACCTTCTCACTGCCATGAAAAAATACTGTCATAAAATTTATTGGTAGCATTGCGTCTTTTTATACGAGACAATTCTTTTTTTTTTCAGAAGAACGATCTTCACGTCAGAAAGCGAAAAGACATCTTTTGTTCGATATCCGTCTTCTCCATTGCCTGAAAATTCATTTATACACCTATGTATATGCACTCAGTAGTTCAATGGTACTAAAAGTTTAGATGATAGTTTCAAAAGCATCTAAGCCCAAGATCTCGTTGTAACTTAAATAACAACCACAACTGAATCGGGATTGTTATCGGTGAAAGTTCTCGTCTAGGAGCAGAATAGGTAACTTACATGACAAAACTCAGCAAAAGTTATGCATCCGTCACCATCCTTGTCTGCTTCTCTCATCGTACGATCGGCAATCGAATTTACCTGCTCCTCAGGTACATTTGCACCAATCATCATCTGTAAGAAAACTTTTCTGCAATAAAAATACGTACAGCTGACAATGAGTGAGCCTCTTTTAGCCTGTAAACTATAAGTTGCCGCTTTCGTGACCCGCGGATTAGCAACTCTTCTTGTTACTATTTATTTATCAAGCTTCTGATATTGATATTTCGCAGCTTTCGCTCACTATCGTGATCTGATATGGAGAAAGACTGCTTGAAAATCATTGTTTTGGGATGCGATGCATAGCTATCAAAAATGACGCGTCGAGTACTCCTACAATCAGTTGAACATCAGAGAGCAAACGCTTTTGCTCTTGTCTTTCTTTACCTGTTTATGCTTTATATAAACACTAGCTGGCTTACCCGGCTCCGCCGTATCCGGACCAAACTTGGCACACATACACTTCGGGCCCCGGCGCGTGTCACAGTCCACTTTTCGTTATCGATCGATGTCGATCTTACCGATTTTTATCGATTTTTTCGCAGAGTTCACCTACAGGGCTAGGAGTTGGCACAGGGGGGAAGTGAGCATGGGGATTCCGAATACAATATTAGTTTTCAGAATTATCGGTTACTTTTATTGATTTTATCGATTTTTTGTAAATTTTGACATGCGAGGCTGGGATTTTGCACAGGGGGGTAATCGAGCATGCTGATTACGAACACAATATTAGTTTTCAGGATCGTCCATTACTTTTATCGATTTTATCAATTTTTTTGTAAAGTTTGACCTGCGGGGCTGGGAGTTTGCACAGGGGGGTAATCGAGCATGCAGATTACGAATACAATATTAGTTTTTGGAATTATCCATTACTTCTATCGATTTTATCGATTTTGCAAAATTTGAGCTAGGGGGCTGGAATTTGGCACAGGGGTGTAATCGAGCATGCTGATCACCCCCTTGGGGATGATCAGCATGCTCGATTACCCCCCTGTGCCAACTCCCAGCCCCCTAGCTCAAACTTTGCAAAAAATCGATAAAAATCGATAAAAGTAATCGATAATCCCGAAAACTAATATTGTATTCGGAATCCCCATGCTCGATTACCCCCCTGCGCGAACTCCCAGCCCCGTAGCTCAAACTTTGCAAAAAAATCGATAAAATCGATAAAAGTAATCGATAATCCTGAAAACCAATATTGTATTCGGAATCCCCATGCTCGATTACCCCCCTGTGCCAACTCCCAGCCCCGTAGGTGAACTCAGCAAAAAAATCGATAAAAATCGATAAAATCGATATCGATCGATGACGAAAAGTAGCCTATGACACCCGCCGGGGCCCGTAATGTATGTGTGCCAAGTTTGGTCCGGATCGGTTCAGAAATGGAATTTTCTATTCGGAACATACGTACATACATACATACGTACATACAGCAGGGCCCGGCACGAGTCGGTTTCTAGGGTTTCTGAAAACGAAGTCTCCCTTGACTTTTGGAAGTTTTACGAAGTCCCCTTTGACTTACCTGCTTAGGAGAAGATGAAAACAAGAAAGATTTTTCTAGTCTGAAAGAAAAGGCATAAGATAAGAGTGAAAATCCAAATTGGAGCTGAATACTACTCATGCACAAGACTTTGGCATTAGAGCGCGATACTTAACAATGCGAGAAGAATTGAAGGCAAAAAACAAAGGAAAGGCAATGATATGAAAATGTCTTCATGCTCAGGGATAGATTTTTGAACGGGGAATCCGTCCATGCTAAAAAGATCCGAAACTTATGTGAAGTGACAAAAATATATGCTCCAGACGATCTCAGATCGTCTGGTGGCCGTCTGGAGACGATCTAATTTTGGAAAAGGTATTACTTCACATAAGTTTTCAAATTTTCTTACATAATACTATCGCAAATGATTTTCTATATATACAGTTCAATTTTGGTGTAATATGCTTCTGTGTGCGCCGTAAACAAGCAATTTGTTTATTTTAGCCTTGCTTTCAAATCGCGCGCAATTTTCGCCATCCACGATTGAGCATGTCAATCGTGCGATAACCTGTCCGAAAAGCTCGTGTTCGACTAAATGGCGCTTATTCTTGGTGCTCGGTTCCGACTCGTCAAAAACGATATCTCCTTTGCTTTTTGCTCCAAAAACGAGGTCCAGCGTGCTTCCAGACGATCTGTGCCGGGCCCTGACATACAGACAGACATACAAACAGACATTCAGCTTTATATATAAGATGTGCTGCATGTAATGACTATTGTTTAGTTCCGATTTGTACAAGATTCTGTCAACCTCATGCACAAAGGAAGCACGTTTAGTCGAAGTGGCCTTTTTAGATCTAAGGTGCATTATTTTGAAGAGCATCAAACGCCGATTTTAAAGCTGTCTTCCTTATCTGCGGAACGTCTGTAAACGAGGAGCTATGAGCATAAATTGCAAAAGCAAAGCTATTAAGGTGAATGGTAAAAAATGGGGAAGCTTGATTTTTATTACATTTTGAGGTTTTTTGTTCTCCAACAAGCAGGCTGCAACTCAAACGTCGCTTACATAATCACCTTCGCCTATTATTCTGGCAGCGAGTTACCGCTCCTCTCTCATAACCTTACGCGTGGCGCCGTGAAGAACTCAGACAGGGTTTTTGGAACAATTCTTAATCTTGCGCTGCTACACCGTAAAGTCGTATAGCAGATGACATACCATTTGAAAGAGCTCTTCATGCTCTTTCGAACGATATGTTAAATGCAAAGATTTCTTTTCAACTTCAGAAAAATAAGCGAGAAAACCTGAAAAGTAGCTATTTTTGACGCAATAAACCAAAAAATTATGTTTTGCCCTATATTTTCCGAAAATAGATATTTGAGATAAGCTGCATTTGGATGGATAGAGCGTAAGAAGCTCTATCAGAAGATACCAAGAAAACATGCGTTCACTTGCAAAAAATTGAATAACAATCTTTGTTTTCGAAGCTGCTAATGGCCATCTCTCCTGACTTTGAAAGTTGAGATGACCAAGACGTCGTTGGTTTAGTGACTGTCCCACCACCCACTCCAGCAATGGTACTTTGGGTGGTCTCAAATGTTTCCTGCGCAGATACTGCTCAAACTTCGTAATTTATCGAAGTGACTAACTTTGCATTTCAGTGAGTATAAAAATTATTAATAATGTAAATGACCTTATATAGGTAGTATCTGAAAGAGAATAACATATTCTAACATCTTTTGAAATTGGAAATCTAATTCACTTCTCTTTCTTAAGAAAGCTCCAGGTATTTCGTAAGTGTCCCATTTTTTCCGTTCACCCTAATAGTTCTGAGCGAAATCGTGAATTTTCATCTAGGATAAAATGTGTTGCAGAAATCTTCCTAGCCCACAAATAAAGCAATCAAGTGTGATATACTTTTTATCCTTAAAGTACTTATTGAATAGCTCTGGTAGTTTCACTGTTTCAATAAAGTGCTAAGAAAAATATTATGGATATCGTTGCCTTACTTGCACATTCTTTTTTTGCTCCAATCAACGCTCATAAGTCTTCGTCAAAAACGTTCGCAGGCAAAGAAGGCAGACTTGGAATCAGCAATCATGCCCTCGAATATGGTATGCTTCTCATCTGAAAAGGCGATTTCGACTAAACATGCCTCCCTTTGGAGTTCACATCCTCTTACAAAGATGTGAACGAAGTCCCATAACCTAATTGATTGAAGTTGGCCTTTAATGCCTCAAAAGTTTCTTTCTTTCTTATCCCGAAAAAAAAAACTGCTCAAAACAAGAAGATTTTCGAGACATTCGATGATAGCGATCCCGAACGATAGGCAGCGATCGCCAACTGCAGAACAGCATGGCAAGGAGATCTCCAAAAGTGCAAGGTAAGCTGAGGTAGAAGCGGCCGAAGGAAAACGATTAAGTAGTCGAAGAGACCTCTACGGATATCACAAACTGCTCAAATTGCTGGCAGCATTACTGAACAAAGACGTCTCCGATTTCTTTTTAAAAAATGGTGGTATCTGTTTTAAAAATTCTATAACGACCCCCAACAGTCATCAACAGCTGTGCAAACGCCCTGTAGATGTATCACCAGGGATTTTACCTGCTGGAATGCGCCCCGTGACCTAGAAAGAAGATGCTTAACGTTCCAAAGCCAGATCGTCTTTGTCGAATTTCTGCAAGCCGGACATTGTCTACAGGAAGTTCTGCATCGATATAGAATCCTCTTTCTTTCTTTCCTTTTTACGACTAGGATATAAAAGCTACTTACAAGGAAATGTCAAATGTCGCAGTGGCTTTTCGCATGAAATAAGCATCATCTGAAGCAGCTTGAAACGCTGATTCTGAAACAGCTTTTCTCGGCTGCAAACGAGTTAGGGTCGCAAGTTATAAGTTTTCCAATCACCAAACTTTACATTGTTTGGATTTGGAGGCACCCTTCTCAAAAGAATCGAAGATGATTTTTCTTCAGAAAGAAAGCGAAGATTGTCTGAGCTATTGTTCATTACCCGCTAAGTACCCTAATTTCACGCGTATAGGACGCGGGAGATTTTTTTTCCTAAAATCGAACAGCACAGATATGCCGAGGACCAAAAAAGTACTTAGAGTGCTGCATATTGCCTAAGAGTATCTGGCGGCATAAATATCGTTTTCCAAAACACAACGAGCCGGCTGAGCGGCAAGCTTGAAAAACTGAAAAAGTGCGTCCTATAGCCGTGAACTTAGGGTATATTGTGCAGGCTTTTCACGAAAATAGTCCTCATCGCATATCAAGGGCACTGGATAAAGTCCAGCGTTCAAAGAAGCTGGATTTCACAGAACAGCTGTATGGAACGTATTCAGACGGTTTCGAGGGTCTTTTTAAGCATTTTTTTGATGAGATGTTTACAGGCAAGGCACGCCTATCGCTTCCGCAGGCCTTTTAGAAAGCGATCCTACTGCTGCGGACTATAAATTTTACACAATAGGCCAATCGCTATTTGGAGGGTTCGTTCAGGCGAAGGGATATGCGTCTGACTCGTACTTTTTCCGGAAGGCGGTAATTTAATTCGCAGAAGAGTGAAAATGCAGAATGAAACCAGAGTACCAATTTACTCGATGAGACTTGGCCATTTTTCAGTCATTCTCACATCAGTATAGTATTGAAAAGCGCCTTTCGAAAAGTATTGTAATCTAGTCGTGCCTAGATTGCAATACTTTCAAAAGGCGCTGACAAGTTGACGTACGACGCCAATTTTACTTCTTGCAATTCCGTCATTCCTCAGTCGTTTCATTAGGTTAAAAGGATAAAGGATAAGGGATTCGCCGTTATCAATACGCGGGCATGCCCAAACGCATTTTGCTTCATGATTGAAGAAGCTACTAAATGCGTGCAGGCTAATAACTTGCGGGGCCAGCTTATTACCAAAGCAGTGCTTTTATTCTCTCAACTTACCTAAAGCCAATTTACCATCCCCGGAGGGTAGATATTTTGGTTGGCCTAAAGGCAGCATCGAACCTTAGTAAGACCTGATCGTAGCGCCTCATACCACTACGCCACCCGTCCCCTTTCATTAGGTTTTAGTTGTCTAAATAGCTACTCTAGTGGTGCGATCAATCAAGTGAGTGCTGAAGTGAGGGACGCTAAAGTCATTCTGCAGGGCTATAATTGTTCTCATCAGTGTTCTTTCTGCATTGTTACAGAAAACCGTCAGCGTTGCAAAAAACGAGATAAAACTATCATTTTTTAGTTCGCCTATAAACTAAGCTTACACCACCTTAGTCAACCGAAAGACTTTCGTTTCGGGAAGCTCCTCGACGAGGCAACAATACCCCATTAAATCGCTAGATGGCATAGTTTACGGTCAGAACTAAAGCGGTATCTAATAGCCTTCAAACCTTTGACTTTCGTTCTTGATTAATGAAGACAAGTTTGCTAACCGAGTTTGCTTTCAACGCTATTTGAATTATAAAAGATGGGGGCTAGCAAGGATCAAAATACTTTGATAAGTAAGATTTGAAAAACGGCAAAATGTTAGAATTTGCATTTTTTGAGACGTCCTACTTCTGCATTCTCCAAATCACCTGTAGGTTGTCATGCTCCTTATTTTATAAACAGATTCACTTGTGTTTGTCCCCAATCATCATTTGAAACTCGCTTTGCATCAAATGTGATCAAATACAAGACCAGTGCTAAGAGATTCCCTTGTTTCTTGCAGTGTCTTCCAAATAAGCCTCAGAGTCTTTCAAGGCTTTATAATTAGTGCAGAAGAAATGGAAATTAGTGCTAAGAACATTCCTGGCATAAAAAACTGGCAAAGTCTCTTGCCAGACATGGCATGTGTACCAATTAGCACAAGGCTTTTCAGCTTGGCACGAAAACATGCAATGCCAACTGGATAGCTTGACTTTCATTCGATTTTTTGGCCTCTGAATTTCTCGCTTTTGTGCCGGATACCTTCGAGGTGCATGAAAACATATCTATACAAGTAAAAAATAACTCCTCTATCTCTGTTTTTTTTTCTTCGGCCATCATTCTTCAAATGAATTACATTGTCCAAAAAATTAGTGAAAAGCAATTTGATCTCCTACAAGCACTAGTAAGCTTTATATTTGGATAATTTATCGAAAATTATTATATTAAAGTCGGTATCCCACCTGTAAAATGTCCTTGAACTCATCTTTGGTGATCGTTCCGCTCTTATTCAAGTCGTACATAGTGAATGCAACTGAATATAAAAATCGACTATTGATTGAACGATTTCGATATCTATTTCTGTTTATACTTAGAACTAATCAAACTTACATCGCAGCTTTGCCTCACGGCTATTCCATGGATGTGGCTTGTTTTTGTTTATTGGACGGAAATGGCTGAGAACTTTGACAAAGTCGCGGAAATAGACTTTTCGCCTTTCGACAACTCTGCAAATATAATCGATTATAAAATCAATGTATGGATTCTCAAGCTAAGAACGAACGCTAGAAAAGTTACAGTGTACGAAAATCAATGTCGACTATTTTGTGATTTGGGCGCTGTTTTTGTTAAAGGGGTCGATGGGAATTCAAAAATTGAAAATTTAATACATGGAATATGTGGGAAAAAAAACCGAATAAACGGCAGCAGTGGCGATCCCAGTATATCCGTCCGGGGAATCGGGGGAGGGTCAAAAAGTTTACGATTAAAGGTGCATGGCGTTAGTTAAGCGCTCGAAGATTTCTCTTGGATGCTTTCCAAGATTTTTGCGGGTCTACAACAAGAAATTTTTTTACAAGGCTAATTCGAAATTTTGATTAACTTTGGACCTTTATGGTTTGATTTTAAGGAAGTACAACACAAGCTCATTTCTGTAATTCGTGCAAGTATTATTCAAAATTTCTTGACACGTTCCCGGGAAGCCCCCCCCCCCCCTAATTCGCCGTCCGCCGCTGATAGTGGGTAGAAATTGAAAGCAATATGTTAGATATACAAATGTCTTGAATGCTGCAAAAATCATTACCTCAAAGTATTTGCAGAGTATTTAGGGAGCTGTTTACCCGAATTTTGCAAATCGCTGCATATCTCTGTTCCGAGAGATGCGTTCCCCAAAAATCTCCAAAAAAAATCAAAGATGTCACTCGCCTTGAATCGCTAGTAGCACCACGAGCAAATGTTTCAATTGAGAAAATCTCATTTAGCCGGGGCGCAGACGGCTATTTGCAATCATGGGCCACCCTGAGCTCAACACTCAATGTTTGTTTTGCGTTCATTTTGCGTGTTGCCTTCATTTTAAAGCAGGCCCCTCGATTTAAGCGCAAAAAATCAAAAACTTTATAGTTGCAAAATTTGGAAAAGTCCTATTTTATGTCTGTTCCAAAACCAAAGTCTGACGGCAGTAAAGAAGCCGAAAGGTCACTTTGCCATTTTGCGTTGAACACCTTTTTTGCCACCCCCCCCCCCCTCTCCTCTCTCATCGCGTCTATTCTCACCTCCCCTCCTTGATCAAGAAAATGAAAATCTAAAAATGACGTCATTGTCTAAGAGCTTGAAAAAAATTCGTCCATAAGTCCGTCTCCAATGAAATGCGATATCAAACCATGGGCAAAAGTGAGTTTACCTTTTGACAGCCAAAAAAAAGTTTGTGTAAATAGAGAAGCCATTTTTGGTATCAGATTACTGGGCAAAAGGCATCTAGCAATTTCCTATAAATTTTTATTTTTCTTTATTGGACCTCGACCTCTACATAAGCTTTGAGTACAAATTTATGGAGGGGGATAGTTATATGCTGATGTGTTTGAATTTTATGAATTGCTCTGTATTCTCACAATCAGTTTTTTCTTTCAGCTGTTTAGGGGAGACTGGCAAGCGTTTCTTCTGTTTTTTCTAAGTATGGATCATCAGAGAACATGGTATAAATCACGAGCGAGCAGCAACAATAACTCATGGCTTTTCAAAGATTTATAACTTTCGATCTGTCAGGAGCTAGAATCTTCCAGAAATCTGCAAACAACATAATCCTAGTGATTCTAATTTTTTCTAAACTAATAGGGAGCGTAGCTATAGAGCAAGAAACCACCAAAAACGTCAAAAATGGAACCCTTTCGCTTCAAATTATGCGCCCCCCCCCCCCGTTTATTTTTGTGCAAATTCAAATTTGCGGAACCTTCTTCTTGCAACAAATTTGATAAGAACTGGCACTATGGATGGACAGAAGGGTAATAAGATAATTGATGGTAATTTGTTGGAGATCCATCTGGTTTTCTGAGAGATTTTTAGTCTAAGAAACTAATTGCGCGGAAGCATCCTTATATGCATGACGTTTGAACTCTAGGACGGCCAAGTGCTCAAGCCCGATAATTCGATTTGAAGCTCTTTACCAAAAAAGGTTAGTTTTTGTCGTGCTTGCGCGTTTTCGGAAGTGGGACTTCATCCATTGGGTTTATAAGAGCAAACCATAGCTGTTTTCTAGAAGGAATCTTTTCGAGACCCTGGCTGAAGTTAATCTTTGATTTGGTAAAATTTGGTACGAAAGATTTCGTACTCAATTTCGTACTTATTCGTTCTCCATTGCAAAATAAGCTGAAGCCAGCTCTACAAAATAAAACCCATAGATCCGCTAAAAACCTTGAAGCGAGTTATTCATGGTCATGGGTACATAAGTCCTTTTGGGAATCATAAAAAATTGGCAGAAAAGTTTTTTTGAGGAGCTCCTCTGATTTAGCAAGCTTGACTTTGATATTTTCTCCAAGAAAATTTTTGCAAAGCTAACTCACCTTTCCAAGCTTTGTGAAACTTGAACTTTAAACGAAAATAAGGACTACTTGCACGATTTTGTAGATCATATAGACCCTTTCAAATTATTCTTCTTCTTAGGCCGCGGACAGAGTTCACGCGATTTCATCGTCGCGATTCATCGCGACAAGACAAGTGTTACGAGTTCATTGCATGTCGATCTTCTTGTATTTCGGTTGTGATAGAGTTACAATTATTCGCATTGGAAAACTATCATAACCCAAATGCAAGAAGATCGGCATGCAATGATATTGTTATAGCCTTGTCGCGATCAATCGCGATGATGAAATCGCGTGAACTCTGCCCAAGGCCCTTAAGGGTCTGGCATACTTCACGCGATTTCAGTCGCGACGCGATTGGCAATATTCCAACTGTCCATAACTCACTGTAAACACCTCGCAAATGTACAGAAAATGGGGCATTTCACCAAGGCTCGTAAGTTATACACATTATGCAGCAGTCTACTAGTGCTAGATCCGAAAATTTCCGGCGAATTGCCAAATCGCGTCAATGAAATCGCGTGAAGTATGCCCGGCCCTTAGGGGAAGGAAAGAGGAGGGAAGGAGAGACGTTCATCTCAGTCACTGAGAAATAGAATTACCTCAAACTTCGTTTTAAAAAATCTCTCGGCGCAGATCCTGTGGGAGCCTTTTGGATAAAAAAAAACAATCTTCACAATTTTTCTGTATATCGATGGCTGTGCCTGACTGCTTATATAAGAGAGGATTGCCATGTTAAAAACGCAGGCTTGAAGAAAAACATCGTGAGATTTTTGAGAGTTCTTGCTTCGTCTTCAAAAGAAATTTCTGCAAGGTTTAGTATCCTTCTGATACCAAAAAATTGCTTAGCTCACAGAAACTAAGAGTCTGAAAAAAAGTTGATTTTGAAAGAAGGAAACCGAGCAGAACTTATGCAGCAAGCTGGTACGATCTAGATCAATTTGGCATGCAAATGTCAGAGAATTTCGTTCTTAATTGTCTAATTACCCCATCAAATCTTTTCCTCTGCAAACTCCGTTCATCAGCGCCTCATAACAGATAATGCAGTTATCCCATCTAGGCTGTTATCGACTCGGTGCCGGCCATAAAAGGGACAACTAGCGCCGTGTACCGGAAATGGCTCATACGCTCATCTGACCAATTAATCTCGATGATGTCAGTGCAAGTGCTTGTCCTCGCCGGCCTAATCCACCATCATCTCGTCCGCGCCCGGGTGTGGATCCGGCACAGCTCTCGGCCTCTCGTCAATTTTTCATCCTTCAACGGAAGCATGCTCTATTTGTCTTTGTGTATTCCCCGCGTCAGATTCATCGTTTAATCAACCGCCTCCGGACCCAAAACGCAGGAATGTTGCCGGCATTCTGGAGCAAAGGGGGTCTAAGTAGCAAAAAACCAAACTGGCAACATCTCATCTGCAGACAGGCTATAGGCTCATAAATTCGAGCGAAACCTAAATTGGCTCGTTAGACTTTGAGCGTTCGTTTTTCTAGGCTAATGATGTTTTCGGCTTGTGTATACGGTGCATTTGCACAAACTAGAACATTGATTATCAATGAATAACAAGTCCAAGACCAATTTTACACTCTTCCTGCTTCACCCAACTTTTCCGTTTTTTCAATTGCCTATTATTTACACTTTCAACATTCTTTATGAAATTCTTCCTTATTCGAGAATTTGTATAATTTGAGGTTGTAAACATTTTCATAAAAAAACCAAAAATTAATGACATTTAATGTCTCCTACCGATCATCAGCTTGCTTGCTTCCCATATCTTCGTATCCATTACTCATCTCTAAACCTTTTTCGACCCTTTTCTCCATCCCCCCCCCCATCCCTTCCCCGCAATACTGCTTACCCATAAATGTTTTAGATTCCTTGAAGTGAATGCGTAAAGTTTTCGACAAATAAAATGATGCCCTTCCACATGACTCGGAGGGGAAAAAGTCATACAAAGCAGACAACAACTTTATAAGTTAAATAGATTCTGAGGGTAGGGAGGGCGAAAATATGTGGGGGGGGGAGGGGGGGGGGGAGAAGGGAAGGGAAGACGAGTAGAAGAGATATTTCCGATAGGATGGGGCATTACAATGAATAATTCGTTCCTCAACCCTAAATATGTCATATGAAAATTTATAGCATTTCAAGATTACAATTTTGTTTTGAGAAATGTTCCCCAACTCGATTCTGAAACAGGAAAAGTCCCAAGAATTATTCGCCATAAGGCAAACCAAAGACCTGAGTACTAACAAGTTCACGCTGTTCTTTTCAGGCTCGAAAATTGAGTTTTTGGGTGTTCTGCACTTTCAAACGAAGACATCCTTCAGCATTTACGTCTTTCACGCAGAGACATACGGCAAATTTTTCACTTATTCACTCATTCATCTATTCCTACAATCATTCATTCATTCAGTCATTCCCCTTCATTCTCATTGGCTTTCATTCTAATCCTTCTAACATATTCAGATGAATCCAAGAGGAGCTTTTTCTAACCAGAAAGGGATAATTTAGTTCGTGCTTCTCAGGCAGGCGGTCTATCAAATCCCACGTGGATTCACGGGAAGAAAAACAAAGCCCATCTGTTGTACTGCAAAACTTCACAAAACAGAAACTCCCGACACCGGCGGCTCCCAAGAAACTCTTTTCTTCTCATATTTATTTCTTCCTGTCAATATTTTCAGTCTATATTTTTGCATATTTTTACGCAGTATGAGATGTTGATCGACAAAGCGCATAAAATAAATATATTTTTGAATCAACTTATCATTGGCCGTAAGAAGTCAATGGTCCGTTAAAAATGGCAGCTTTGCGCTCTCAAATTACTCTGCTTCCAGATCTTTTGTATCCATATATGACAAAGTAGTGCAAATTCGGAGCATGTGGTGGTTTATAGAAACAATTTACAATGCCTAACTTTGCGGAGAGGAATCCGAGAATGGGGGGCCGAGCTTGCCATTTTCAGAAATGGTGGGCGGAGCTTGTCATTTTCCGGTGTGCTGAGGTGGAGTTTTCCACGTTTTCTAAGGTTTCATCAATGACATGAAGTAATAGTTCAAACTTTTTTTAACTTTCTTGGAATTTTTCCATTTTCTTTTTTAGACTATTTCGATATTTTTCTATTTTCTAATCTTTTTATTTTCTTTTCTTTTTGTATTCCTCTTTTTCCACTACGGAAAGCTGCAAAATTTTTTCAAAGTGAAGTCTTTAGTCTTTTCGAATTCAGAAATGACTTATGCAAATGCTTAGAAGTCATCTTGTATGTCTTGCCTTGCTTTTTTCCCTTTAAATGTACTTCGTGTGCCTTCTCAATTTCCACACGGCCGTCGCAAGCTAAGGCACGACATCTTACAAAAACTCGATAGAATTCTCGCACGAACTACATCTCATTAAAGAGAACTTTTTGGAGGGGGAAGAATCGACTAGAAAAAGAACAAAATTTTTTAAAATTAGAGACAAATTAGCTTTTTCATCCCATGTTTTACTCTCAGGTGATCATTATTCGAAGGAATAAAATACAATAAAAGGTATCAAAAAATAAGAATAAAGGTTTGTACTCACTCAGCATCCGCGAAGAATGCGTCAATTATCCGCTGTCCTAGTGGATTCTGTTGTAATTCGGTGATGTTTTGGAAGTCTGATTCGGTCAAGAAGTACTCGTTGGTTGCTTTGTCGCGATGTGTTGCTAGTGATACAAATCGTTTGTAGAGCGTGACGATTCCATTTCGGGATACTGTAAATACGGTGATTCTGTGGATCGATAAAAAATAATAGGGTTGAAAAATAATTTCTGGAGAAAAAGATAGGACTGGTTAATAATCAATAAAAAATAAAATGTCAATGCATTATGGAAAATGGATAGGGATGGTGGGATGGTGACTCCGAAAAAAGCCAAGGATTTTGCTTTGGAAAAATATTGGTGTCTTCAGAAAGAAAGCCCAGAATTCTTGCAGTTACTGAAAACAAAGTCAAAATATGTCTTCTGACGAATTAGACGAATTTTTTGGAGATATGTTGAGAACTGACTCACAACATCTAGGAATTTCTTTTCCACAAAAATTGGAAAATAGGATGGTAGGTCAAAAAATTGGGCTAGAAGTTTCTTCACAAAAATATTTGCAAATATTGACGTTGACTCAAAAAAAACATTAAATTCAAAAAATTTCTTGAAAAGCAATGGGGTGTAACTTTAGAGAATCGAGAAACTTTTTTTGAGAAGATTTCGTGAATATATCTTCCAATATAATGTTAGACTATAGTTTACTTGATATTGTTCTACTTACTTACCTTTTGATTTCATCTATAGAATTATTTATACCCCTTTTTGCACCCTCACTGATTTGCACTTTTCTCCCTCCCCTATCTCGTTTTCGTTCCCGTTCTCTTCTTTTTCATCTTTTTCATGTCCACTTGTTGTTTGACTTCCCCACATCTATCATTCCTCAATGATAAATCTGAGAAAGTCTTGCTTTTGAATACCTACATAATTAATGTTGGACAGATCTCCATAGATCGCATGACGAGTGATAACGCCATCCATAACCTTATAATGCGCTTTGCACTATCGTGTACATGTTTCCCTAGTGACTAGTACATCTTTCAATCTTCAATGGCTTCAGCTACTAGACTTCCTTTTCCACATTAACAAAAGCCATCTCAAAGCGAGCAGGAAGTTTATAGCCGTAGTAATTACGGGTATTCACATCCGGAGTACCCCGTGTTCTGTCGCTCACCCACTCACTGAGCCTCACCTCATTCACAATTTCTCTGCAAAATTGCGTCCTCTCTTCTTTCGCTTTTTAAACTCATTTTTCTCTTTCCCACGAGATGAATATTCAAAGATGCTCGCAAACGCCCCTTCAAGGAATGCAACTTCGCCTTTGACTTTCAATTTGCTATTCCTCCACTTTAAGTTATGCTCTTTTTGAACTCGCGCCATTAATTTTTAATGAAAATTTTTTGGCAACACATGCTTGAGCAAAACCTGATTGCTTAATTTTCTCATTACAGTGAAGTAAAATTGAAGTGTTAGATTTTTTTCTTATTTTGCTCCAATTTGTGATTTTAGTCAATAAACATCTGTTTTTTCTCCAGTCTATATCAGTACAAGTTTTGTAGAGGGCTTAGAGCGTATAAAACAAATAATCAAACGAAAAACAATTACAAGCCAAAATAGATAAAACCAAATAAAGCAGGAATCTTATGAAAAGCAATGCATTAAAACGAAAATTAGTCTAATAATGTAATGGAATCGTTTTCCACAATTTTGTCAGCGGTAAAAATCGAAGCGGATCTAAGTCTCCAATGAAGAAACCCAAATAAACATCAAAAAGACTGAAGGGTAAAGGGTGATAAGGCAAAAAAATGATTGGAACAATTAAAGACGATTTATTCTGATTTTTACTAATCATAGGCACAATTCTTTTTATACTTTCTGACTTCATATGTCTTTTTTTGTTAAAATTCGCGGATGTTTAAAAGCAATCATAAAAAGACGTCTTTGATCTATTCGCAAGTGTAAATGTAGAAAAAGCAAAGCTGTGTTTAGCAATTCTTAATTGAAGAGTATTGTAAATTTTGAAAAAATAGTAATTAGTAGGCTATATACACCATCTCCTAAAAAAGATTTATTTTGAGTACATGATCTTCTTATTTAGATGTATCAGATCTTTTTCTTTTCCTATCTTTTCAAAAATCATAAAGGTCTCCAGAAAATTCTGTCCCAAATGTTGAGAATTAACATATCCCAGCATCCGCACTTTTACCTATTTCAAGAACACCTTGCCCTATAGAGGTTCCAGAAATTGAATAAGCCGGTAGATAAATTGAATTGAGAACTTCATACATTTTGAGAGTTCTTCTTCCCGGAAAGTCTTTATCAAAGTGCAAGTTTGTTACCATATTTTTCCTCACTCTTCCTCTTTTTCAGTCGGTTATACACTATGCAATGCTAAATACAAATGATACTTTGGTAATTGAATTTAGATCCCGATCCCGTCAAAAATTAATTTACTGAAGAGCTTCAAAATCGCGGGATTTGCCTTTCGTCATCGCAGAAGCTTTAGCTCGAGATTAAACCGCTTGCACTCGGCAAAGTCGTTTTCTAAGCCTATTGCATAATTCTAGGCATTTCAATTCTGTAGGGAAATCCTTCAGAGAACTTTCTCCTCTTTGACTTTATAACGCGGTACTTCGTCATTCAGGGGGGAGGGGTGTAAGTAAAAACTTAATTCAATGATTTTGCGTGAAATATCCTACGAGTAATATTGAACCACTAGCCTAAGAAGTAGAAAATTTGATCAATATTGTAGGGTAGAATTTTGAGAGAGAAATTCCTGCACATTCGATACAAGCTAGGATTACTTTCATGATTTTCACTGGGATTCTCAAGACATTTCTTCCATATTCAGCTATCATCTCGTTCCTAGCCTTAAAAACTACAATTTATGCCGACATTTCTATAATTCAAATGGCCGGATAGACAATAATCAAAGAAAAAAACAAAAGTCAAGTCATGGGAATGTCATTAGCGCCGATGGCATTCTTATAAGTAGTAGGCATAAAGAGGAGCCGGGGGGGGGGGGGAGGGTAGTATATTTCACAGCCATTACTCCAAAGTGAGAAGTTTTTCCTCTAGTTCCAATTGCCTATGGTTCTAATTTAATAATCTGTACTTGAAAACTTCTTTTTCGACCCTCCCCCCCCCCCCAACTCCTGAATTTTCTCCTGAGACCAATTTCGCTTACCAATATGAGTACACTTAATTAAATATTAGGGTCACCTACACTTTCTTTCCCTTCCCCATTTGGGTGAAGTGCAAATGTTCAGGAAATGTATTTGAACTTAACTACGCCACCGGATGCCAGAGCATCATAATTCCAGAACTTTCCCCTTTTTTATTGCTATACAAACTATTTTTGCCTCAGTTTTAACTCCTCAAAATAGAAAAAAAATAAAAAGTGTTTATTCAGTTGAGGTTTCAGTTGTAAAAAGCTTACTCAGGAGAAATTTTTTATGCTTTTTCTTCGTCTAAGGAATAATGGAGACCGGCATATTCTCACTAACCCGTGCGTAATTCTTTTTTCATAGTTGTTTCTAAGACAACTGAGAGCCTCATGATCCAGTCAAAAAACCTTTTCACTTCTTGCTCATTCGTTTTTTCCTCATCAAGTCTATTATTTTGTTTATTCACGTATCTTATTATTTGTCTAATAAAAATTGTCAAATAAACAGGCAAAAAACGAAAGTTATCAGTGGAAAATGCAAAATGCAAATTGCAATCTTTACTTGAACCATTGATTTGTTCCTGCTTTTTCTTACCATCAAAAATATTTGACTAATCACCAGTTGAATAACTTTATTCAAACACAAGGAATTTCAAAACTGCTTAAATAAGAGCTTTGTCAGCTGTAAAAAACAGTTTCAATTGATAAGTTCACCTAGTTTTGTTGAGAAAGCGGACCAGTTGTATGGTTTATGTCTTTTTTCACTCAAAACCACATCTCTAGCACGAGTAGAATTTTATGGTATTTCTACAGCCGGAGCCTAGAAACACTTCAAAAAGTGCATTATACGTTTACATTATCTTATTATGGCCGATAACACGTGTTCAAGGAACTTTTATTGGATTTTGTCCTTCCTTCAAGTCTTTTTTGTTTCCTCAATTTCTCCGGGCCCATCAACAGCAAAGTTGTGCTGAAACATCATGGCGCACATCCCATATGAATTCATTCATTTTCAGATTTTTTCCCGACGAATGCAGCGAAAATATGATATAATCACAGCATCATGTGTCTAAGTCTTTTACCACTTGAAGGTATCAGTAAAAAAGTGTTGCCTAGTTCAGTCAAATTGACTAAGCCATCTCATTCACGTTTTCATCTATTTATTTATCTTCCAATAAATAGTTAAACCGGAAAATCGAACTTTTTTTAGAGCTCACCACATATATGTATACTGTTGGTATGGATTTGGGTTCTCGTACTTATTTTACTGCTGCAACAATAAAAAGTTTTTTGCTAATACAATTAATTTATTTATCCATTCATTTTATCGCGCATTCAATAATGCATTCGTTCATTCACCAGTCATTTCACTTAATCATTCATTCATTTTTATTCATTCATTCTTTTAGTCATCCATTCATTCCTTCCTTCATTCATTTATTTATTCCCTCATTCATTTCCTCATGCTTCATAATGCGGCTCAGCGGAAGAGAAACCCACGCAAATAATCGCTTATTTCCCAAAATCCACCCAAATGGCCATCAAAACCAAACCGCAGGAATAATTTCAGAATTTATTGCGGGTAATAAAACCATCAAATCTTGATGCGATTCTCATGGGTGGCATTTATGCCAGCGCGGAATAAACTGCCAGTTTCCTGTCAAGCCATAAATTTCCACAAACGATTATTTGGATCCAAATACTTTGAGGGTTTGAAAATACTCGATCGAGTATATGTGTATGTAGGCGATACAGTAGAGGCAGTAGCTTGTAATGGCTTATAAAGGGGAGGTGTGGAAGGCAGGGGATGGAAGAGCGTAAAAAGGTGGTCCAAATCCACCATAAAACGGCAAGCGTTCCCCTTCTCCCTTTCAGTCTCATATTTCATATCTATAACGGCATTTATCTTCAAAATCACAAGCGCCAGTCCCTATTATCCGAACCCCATCAAGGTCTTTTATAGACTAGAATTGAATCAATTTTATTTTCCAGAAAGCCGACTACGAATCATTTTCCCATGCATTGTTTGAACCCAACGTTAATCTCAAAGTTCCCACAAAGCTTAGTGAGAGTTTAGCGCAGGAATCCAAAACCAGTCTAAAGGGCGCAATCTTCGCTTATCTGCTGCCCTTTCTCCCTCCCCCCCCCCCTCCCCCAGTTTTTTTCTCATTTTGGCAAGTGTCCTGTACCTAGAGAGCTTTCACTCCATGTGCGTAATATGCAAGTTTTTGAGCATTTGCATTCCTCAACAACAATTTATTGATCCATTTTCAATCGATAAATTGATCCCGATCTTAAGTGCTGCACATGCTTCATTATTCATGATTTTTATTTCATTTTTGAATTAATTTCCACGTCATGTTGCTCTGAACTTCGTTATTCACTCATCAAAAGTAAGATAATAAACGGAATAAAATTCGAAAAACATAAAAAATGAATTTTAAAAAAATTTTAACTTAATTGTTAATTATCTTTCTCCTCCGTTTTCCTCACTGGACAAATCTCAAAACATTCATCTGTTGATATACAGAATACAGATTATTAGCGATTTTGATCGATAAACATCTACCAATACATAGAAGATAACTTTTCAAAAGCTTCGATCAATAAATCCCACTACCAAAGAGATTTATTGATCGACAATCGATATATTGATCCCAAATCTTCTAAACGCTGCAAAAACTTCCACTCTACTCGTCATTAATAAAGTATTCTGATGAGTTGTTGTTTTTCCCCTAATCGCGCCACACATAAATATTCACAAGCCCAAGCCCCCCATTTATCGAGTTAGTAGGGAGGAAGCTGACAGCGGTAT